GAAAAGATTGGATGGTATATGTTTTGCATCAGTGACTTTTATGAAATTGTATATCTTAAACATATGTACATAGCAATACTTAAGGTACTCCGTTCCTTAGGTTCTGAAAATCAGCAGCAATGTACTTGAAAACAATTTTACCGAATTCACAAAATAAAAAAAAAAATGTGAAGATACTCTTAATTATTTTGTGAATTCAGTAACGTTATGAATTGAAGGCTCGTCATTATAGTAAGTCATATATTATACATGTGAATAGGGAAAAAATTAAAAAAAAAATTGAAGTATATTTTCAGAAAAAAAAAAAAAAACAGGCATAAAACACCGATAATACATTTTCTAAATGAAAATTGATTAAGTGTATTAAAGGATAAAGAAAACTACATGTTTGGGTGTCCTGGCATCCGACAGAAATTGCATGTTTTATACGTATACGGTATTTATATTTTTTCTTTAGCTTTAATTCTTATACATGTATGATCAGAGTGTAATTTGATATAATTATCACAGATCATTTCTCTCTTTTTTTTTTCGGGGGGGGGGGGGGGTTCCTTTTAAAAGGTGCAAATATCTACTTGTCACAAGACCGTTTCAAAGAATTAGAACAGGTTAGAATTTTTTTTTCATTTTCTATCAGTTTTTGCACCCCTTCCAATATTTTAAACAAATTTAAGTGAAGTTATTTTAATTATGTAGGTAGCAAGGTGATAAATATGCTGTTAAAGCCAAAACAAAAATCAAAACCCTCTGTCTTCGTCAGTGCTTTAGCGTTTGAAGGCATAAATATTTACTTGATCATATGTAATTATGCATGACTTATTTTGCTCTGATGTTTTGAAATGCATGTGAAAAAAATTATTTAAAACACCGCTATTTGCATTGTTGCTATGACAGATGGTCTTATCTAAACGATAGAGGTGTTCCGAACGCTTTAAAGTCTATTCAGGTAACTGGTACAGGTAAACAATGACTTTCAGGTAGATACACGTATACGATTTAAAAACCTTTCCGGATGACATGCAGTTTGAATTTATGGGGTAGAGGATTTCTAGACCAACAGAGTCATAAAAATCCAGAAAAGACAGGTGTAAACTTAACGTCACGATTCACAGTTTTGATTGATTGGAAATCAATCGGCAACCAGTTGTTTCAGGAAGAAAAATAATTCACGTGGAGGTAAGTGAAAAATAGAGAAATCAGATAAAATTATATCTATCATAGGTAAACGAATGTCACGCAACAAATGATTGAAATCAATAAAGGTTCACAACAAGGTATGGAACATCATAAACCCTGATCATATTCTTATTTTAACAAGACAGTTTGGGATCTATAAATGTAATTGCTCCCTACTGTTTATCTTATTTTTCGTTCTGATCAGACTTCTCTGTCAATTTAAGTTATTTTCTTTTTAATTTAAGGTTTAACTTCTTTTGAAGACAGGATTAAGAATTGTATTTAATCCTACAGATTATCTTCCGATGACATTTCCGGAATTGGATTAACAACTTCCGAGTACAAGGATGTCGCAATCCTCAGTGTGAAGGGTGTTCTCCGTCCTGTTATGGGAGTATATACTATCGAGGACGCAGACGATGACGGTAAGAATTTTAGAGTTGAAATAGGTTGTCTATTCGATATGCTTAAATTCACTCATTTCCAAATACAAGGTTTTAGAACGCGTTAAGCTCAAGGGAGAAATATCATTGTATCTTCTATATATTTCATTTATGTGGAGCGTGACTGAAAGGAGATAATATACTTAGGTTCTTAAATATCTTTTCTTTAAAACAAATTTGGTTAGGTACTTGTACAAAGATCTATACGTAGGCCCTGGTAAAGAAAAAAAATGTAAACTATTTTGTTCTATTTGGAAGGAGACTTGCACTGATGTTAATGTCATTCACACCTTTTTTTTTTAACAAATGCATGTACTATGAACTTGCTTTGCCATTATTTATTCAAAGTCCAAACTCAACACTGAAAACTTTTTACAAGCATGGCGTACTGTGACTTTATTGAAATAACTTTAAAACCAACGTGTGTTGTGTTATTTTAAAGACTAAAATAAATAAATGACGACTTTTTTTTTCTACAAGACTGGATTAAATTCCTATAAAGTCTTGTTCCTGAATACTACTACATGAGTTTCTAATGGAAATGTAATTCATATTTTTTCTTAGCTGTATAAAAGTTCAAAATTACAAACAGCATTAAATAAACACATGGCTGTATCTGAATAATTTATTTCAAATTCCTTTTACAACATTTACGATAATATATAATCATGAAGGTAAGAGAAGATACACTGCATCTACCTCCTATATAAACCAGGATATGGATGACCACAAACCGCTCTTTAGGGCTTAACACAGATAAATATTACGTCAATTTACTATAGTACACCTAAAGTATACATTATCAAGGTGATAGGCCGATGTGTAGCCATATGCTGCTATTACCCTAACATTATTTCACGGAAATCCTTGTTTGGCCATTGCGCCATCTGTGTAAATACTTGCAGTTCAATATGTATCATTAATTTTATTTTAATTCTATTATTCATTTTGAAATTGTTGTATGGCAGATTATTTATATAGATATCTTGTTTCATTTGATCTTGCATAAAATACTGAGTAATCTAAGATCTGTTCAAATTGTTAAGTATACTGCATAAAAATTGCTGATTTGATATTGCACATTTACCTTTTTTAATGATCAGTGAGATGGTAACAGAATTGAATGTCAAAGATATAATTTTTATTATAACTACCCCATGTTGTTCATCTCCCATGTTTCAAACGACCAAATATGGTGAAGCTTTATAGATTTGGAAAGATATCCAGCAAATATACATGTGAACATGTACTTGTGATTAAATAAACGTCCTTTGCCCATAAATTAGTTGATATATATTAATTTATCTAAAAGAAGCTCTTCTCTGTCAAGGAAAAGACGAGATCTGGGACACGGAAGAGATGATCGTTTTAAATTTAAAAAACTAAGCTTTTGAACATGAAATTGATTGTATATTTTCAGAAGTCTTTGATAGTTTTTTTTTATAAACTGAATTTGGTATAATTAGTACAATCTATGATTAAGGACAGAGGATTAAGAATCGATTGCAGAAAGAAACAGATGTGGCGGCCTATATCGATTTATCTCTGCTCTGCAAATACCAGCATTGACTTGTACAATTGGAATTGCATTCATAAAAAAAAATTCAATCCATATCTCAATAATTAAAAGAAATTTATTCATGAAGAAAACAGAAGCCACTAGAAAAACTGAAAATTATTACGTACAGTATAGTAAAAGGTGATTTATCGATAAACTAATATATCAGATCAATTTGTTGTCATGTATAGAGGTTTAACAACAAATCTCATTAATATTTTACATGTACTATTGTGTATATTCATAGATAAAATCGATATTTCTTGGTCCATTTTTGTTCAAATTTTAAGAAATAGAAATTATTCATTAATGACGCATTGCGTGAAAGGTTTTAAAATATATAAATAAAGGAAGTATTAGAGCATTAATTAAAGAAATTTTGGCACCACGTTTAAATAAGAATGACGATTAGGTAAGAGAAAGGCAGCTTAACGTATTAGTGTGTTCAGCTTATGAATTCTGGGTGTAATCTTTTCTTATCCTTTGCAAGTTCAATTCAATTTAAGTTCAACTTGTTGATTTATTTCAGCTCATTACTAAACTGAGGAAATGAATCTTTTTTTTAAATAACGAAACGATACTTTGAAGAAAATAGAATGGAAAATTTGAAAATCTTTAGCAAGATTTGACATTCTGCGTGATGTGTTAAACACGTTGAAAGTGGATATCAGTTAAGCAGTATGGATTGGAATTTATTACAGAACATCACAAATGCATAATCATTTCAATTAAAAAAAAAAAGTTTTCTGATCTTTAAACCTTATTTTCTTTAAAAGAATATAATTATTAGTACATAGGCATAAGCGTCTCTGATGGTTCAGATTTCAGACGCATCTACATATATAGTATGTCCTTTCATTGTAGCAATTCTAAAACCGAAAAAAAGTTTTATGTCGTGTATTATATGTTCTGCATTTAGTCCAAGACTTGAGTTGGGTTTGAAATCAGATGGAATGGTTCAGTTGATGTATTGGCCGTCTAAAACATTAGTTTCTCTTAGCACAGTAGACAAATTATTACACATTGTGAATGGTTAACAAGGGAATGCAGACGATACAACGTGCAAAGGACGCATAAATCACGTTCTCCCTTAATTCTCGTTCTGGGAGATAATCACGCCTTAGATTGGCGAGATTACAATAAAAGAAATCTTTTTGAAAGATTCTTCAGAAGCAAATCATTCTTTTTTAAAATGTGATATGTTCGGAAAAAGAGGCATACAATTCACTGTTATATTTTTACCATTGAAATGTAATTTTATATGGCGATAATTACTATATATATATATATATATATTTGTTCTTGACATTTTGAAGGCGAGAATGATTCACACACTATTATATACTGTGCTAAAATATATCTCAAGTTAAGCTGAAAAGCAAGCAATATTTTACTTTATATGTTGAATGCTCTTAGTTTTTTTTTCTTCCGACTATGAATATTTTAGAGAGAGAGAGAGAGAGAGAGAGAGAGAGAGAGAAGAAAATGTTGCTCGATCTCAGCTTTTATGGAAATAGCTTTGTTCACTTCTAAATAACTATTATCACATTATGCTCATACAATCTGTGCATATGCATAATTCGAAAACGTGGTATTCGTCTTTATTGAATCTGAAATCATACATTATATCATAAGCTGGATACAAGAAATGTGTACATTTCTGAGCATTTTTTTAAATACATGAAACAGATTATGCAGTCAAGCTCAAGGAAATTCAAATTTATTTTGGCAAGGTCTTTCAGAATCGAAAAAGACATTCTAACTGCACTTATCAGACCTTCTAAAATCAATATTGCATCAATGCTAGATAATTAGATACCGGGTAGTTTGTGCGTGATAAAAATCGATTGATATTAGGGGGATATGAAAACAAGAATCGATCTCGTAAATTTCTCCTGTCAATGACCAAAGAATTTCTTATAATCGAATTTGCAGAATACGTATAATGGCGCGGATCCATGGATTTTTTTCCCAAAGAAAAAAAAAGGGGGAGGGTCCAAAACTTTCCGAGCCGGAAAAAACTATTTTGTGCGTTTTCTCGACTTCTATTGGTTTCATTTGTAACTTTGAGAAATGACTGGTATCTTTCTTTGCAGATGAACCGTCTTCCAGTGTATGTTGTTTGGGAGGATGTGTCACAGGTTGTGCTTTAGCAATACTACTCCTTGTTATTTTACCTGCTGGTACGTGAAATAATGAACAAATATATCAGTCAACTTTTTTTTAAATACAAAAGTTAATAGAAAGTACAATTAAAGTATCGGTCTAGGAACTTTGTTTCGGGGGGGGGGGGGGGGGAGTATTGAAAACAACGTTGGGGTGGCGATCATATTGCAACAAAATGCAGCAAAAGGTGGCTGGGCTAAACGACCCTTTAGTGAAAATTCCATGCTGAATTAACATGCTGCGTAAGACTTCTCACGGAAAAAAGTAGTGGGAGGGGACTTATTCCCCCTGATACTAGACTAAGTGATTGACGTTATTCTAAAATGATGATAAATAATTGTTTTGTATATTGTTATTTGTAGGTGCTCTGATCACATTTTACGCTGGAAATAACGAAGACTATGGCGTCCTATCAGCTGGAATATGCATGATCGCGATCCCGCTTCTTTCAGTACCCACTTTTATCTTTATTTTCATGAACAGAAGGCGGATTCTAAAATTTAGAAAAACAAAGGTTGTTGGTTGCTCTAACTCTTCTGTAGGAAGAGATAGAAAAGTACGCTATTGAAAGTATCGACACGACAGTGACGTCATGGAACTCCATCTTAGTGATTTACCAGTGCCATGGGTATAGACAACGATTTTAGACTCACCAAAGTGCTTACATTTTTTCAAAGTTGCACAGTTTGGGGATGCATCAACGAATGAATTTTGTATACTCGGTTTGGTAAGCTGGTTTCAGAGTTTAAACTTCTGTTAGCAGTTAGTCAGTGACAGGTGCAAATCTGTTTACTTAAATACACTGTCATACTGTATGCAAAAGCAAATATTGTGTGCTAAATGGTTCATCTATGGTATTTTTTTTATGGAGAGAGCTTTCCAGTAAGCTTTCGAAATCATGATAAAGAATTGATAAAATTTACATTACATACTCGTATGTCTTTACTTATCCAACATAAAATCACAGCAGAATGCGACCTAAATTTACTTTTGCACACAGGAACAAATTTGCTCACGATTAAATTTCTCGCCGTATAAACACAGTGATAGTCAGTATGATTCTCATGTAAGTTGTATACAAGAATAAGATGTATGAAATTATTACTTTAGTTTCATCTACGATAAAATTTATACTCTAGCACTTAGGCAATAATCTAACCTGCTGGCTTCAAACTGACTACGACCATTTTATAAATATCCATCCATCTTTTACTAATTAACGATTTTAATGGTCCTAAATCAATGATTAATTAATTAGTCAGGAATATATTACCAATAAAAAAAATTAATTAGTGAAAGAAATGTGTAAGATTTAAATGGTTAAAGGTGATTGCCTTAAATTTGTTGATATTAAAATTTAAATTGTGTTGATATATTAGAATCCAAATTTTTGTATGTTATATAAAATTGAATCGATTAGAACTATTTTGAATTTTGAAGGCAATTGTTGGATTAAATAATGTTGATTGATTTCTGCCATTGCTAAACCAGAACCCCAAGACCATAAACCGAGAAGGCTGAAGTAAAAATTTAGATGTCGGATATGTTGATATCTATTGTACAACCATGTTTAAAAAGTTGCAAGTTTAAATAATATGAAAAATATAAACACATGATGAAAATTTTATTGTATTTCTAAAATTATGGAATGTTATGCTAATTTGAAATTATGACTTAAGTCTTTTGTAAGTTTATGGCCATGAGGCCTGGTTAAAATGATACCCAAGAACAGCATATACTCAAAGAGATTAAGAAATGCAAAAGAGAGTACTTGTTAAGGTTCAGAATGTTTAGAGTTTTTTTGCTTTTTTTTTTTTAATTTGCATCCTTATTATAGAAATGTACTTTTCATTATGCATTAAGAATATGACGAAATCCTTTTCAGTTGTGCCAAAAAATCATCCTTTGTTTTAACTTTTCTTCTTTCTGTAAAGTTTTTGAAGTGTATGTATTTTAATTTTTTTTTCGACGCTATTTTCACTTTCATGTAGCAGCTGTCCCTTGTTATTCAGTGTTTACATATATGTATTGGATATTCGATGCAATAAATGGCTTGCTTTTGAAGAGCAGAGTCCGCCATAATATCAGAAGACATATCAATAAAAGTGTTCACAAGAACTTGGTGTGTTTCCCGTGTGTGTGTGTGTGTGTGTTTGAGAGAGAGAGAGAAAGAGTGGGTTTGTTAGTTGTTTGCTTTAATCCCTTTGAGAGAGAGAGAGAGAGAGAGAGATGGGAGAAAACATTTTGGTGAAGGATTGTTAAATATGAGATACTTGTATATAAGCAATAACTTATTTTTGTTATTTCTAGGATGGTTATATGTACATGTACTAGCATGTTATTTCCTGAGAATTTAATACCATCTATTCTTTGAGCAAAATATACTGTTATTGTTACTTAACTGGTAAGGTTATATCCAAAATAATTTTGATGTACTACAATTTTTTTGTTCCTTAATTGATTTGACTGTTTATCTGACCTGTCATGTTGAAATGTGTCAACTTGAATTTTAAGTCAAAATCTACCTATTTCTCATATATATGTTTTTGACAAGAATAGGGAAGAAATGATTGAAGTTTGATATTGAATATAGATCTATCAATCATAGTCTCAGGTTACTTCTCTGTTTTGTATATTTTCAATATCACTCTGTTTTGTATGTGTTCCGAATGTAATATAAAAACTTGTTTTTGAGTTAGTTTGTTCCGAAGATTGTGTAAATTTAAAGACAAACTTAGCCAATGAAATCCAGTTTTGTTTTTCATTTGTTTTTATCTTGTTTAAGGAATAAAACCTGGAACTTGTCGTCTTGTTTTGGCTTTACTCCCAATATTTTCAGTGAATATTTCTATATGACCAAAAAAAAAAAAAAATGGTACAAATATTTTCATTTTTCCAATAAACTGTATAGGTATCAGGTACAATAACTGCACGTGTTCATACTAAGTAGATTGAAAAAGAATTCATTCATTCATTTTAATGAGATATTTTTTCTATACATCTATTTTTCAAAACGTTGAATATTTCAAAGCTTGAATTTAGGTATTTAAGTAGACACATAAGGGGATTTGAAGCGATTTGAATGGGTCGAAGAAGTCAAGTCCTGTTTTGTGTGTTAGACTCGTACATCAAATGTGTGATTAATGGTATGATCTGTCGTTAAAAATAACATAAGTGAAATTATCGGTATCATAATGGAGTGACTTACCGAAAAGTTTTTTGAACACATCTAATTTGATAAGCAATTTTTAAAATGGTTTTTATGTCGTGGCTTTTGAGGTTAGGATAGGATCAATAAACCAAAGCTGTACCTTAATTTCAATACATATATAAGATCATTCTTTGAAAATATTTTCAAGAAACCAAGATCACATTTAGACAACTGTCCATACACAGAGTAGATTAAATCTTATTCAGATCACGACCATATAGCTTGGGGTAAAGATAATAGATGGTCAGAGTTTCAGAAACAATATACATGTACTGGTGAAAAAAAATTTTCCCATAAAAAGCATGAGACAGTCAATTATGTATAGTCACCCTAATCTAGCATAAATATCAGTTTATTCATTTCGCTGAAATCAAGGCTTAGGTAGGGACACAAGGTTACGTTTAGGAATACATGTGGAGGATTTTTTCGGAGGATGGGGGTTAAAATCTTCTCTTGAAGAATAAAAAGACCAATATTAATCAAGTGAAAAGACAGGCATTTGCATTCATATTAAGGGAATGTTGATATTTTCTTAAAAATCATGGACCTTGAGGGAACGAGTAGAATTTCGATTGACTGATTGTTAGTTTGTTGTTGTACGTTCCATTTAAAAGTATTCAAGTTACACTTTGAACGACGTGATAATAAGGTTCATAACTCCTCTGTTCACTCATATAAAATGTGCTTTAATGTTTATGATTTTCCAAAAGAATATGTTTTATAAATAAAATACAAACAATATTAGCATAACTTGCGGGCAAAATTAGGCGAAAAAGACATTTTTACTCGAAAGACTTATAAAGCTTATAAAGGATTGTTAGAAATAATCTCTTTAAGAATTATATCTCTTTTCAAAGTATCAATGAACTTTAAGTATGAAAATGTCCTGTTGGGAAAAAGTCAAAGTAATGAACAAGAATTGCATTAAAGTTTGTTTAAAGTTCATTGATACTCTGATAAGAGAAGTAACTCCTAGTGGGATAAATGACTATTATTCCTTAATAAGATAAAATGTCTATCTTGTCGAATTTTGCCCCGCAAAGTTAAGCTAAAATTGTTTGCATTTTACCCACAAAGAATACACATCTTTTGTAAAAATCATAAGTCTAAGCAAAATTTTATATGAGTGAATAAAGAGGGATGATGAGCTGCCAGGCTTTGGTAGAGGAGGGTCAATAGTAAACATATGATTGGATGGGAACAATCTATACTTCCTTTGGAGAATTGCAATGCCACAGAGAATTAATATAAAAGCATTCCCGTTTAGTTTCGATTCTGCAAGGGTTATATATCTCACTGGGATGGATTATTGAGAATACCTTAGTATCGAAAGGATTGCAATTTATACGCCCAAACCAATAAACAATCAATGTTAACTTTATAATGTTAATTAGTGTTAAAAATATAAAAGGTAAGATCTATACACATATATATATGCTCCATTCATTGATCAATACATCTGAACTAGTAAATTGTTATGTCATGGACAATTTTTGAATTAAAGTGAAACAATATTTCTGTAGACATTGGTCCAGTTTCTTATACAAGGTGAAATTTACCCCTTTCATCGCCGAGCCGCATTGTGATAGATTAAATTTACTATGTTTTCTCACTTTCCTCCGTTAAAGCTTCGCAAAATGAGAGCTTCTATCTTGTTAAAACTTATTCTAAAAATTACTGCAAGTTGATATGAAAACAGCTTTAAAACTCATACGGCAAAGAGAGAGATACTCTTTAAGACGTCCATTATCTATAACCTGTTTGCTGAGTTAATTAACAGGTTCTTGCATTATGCAACTTAGATTTAGAAAGGATTGTTAAATGGAATCAAAGTAGAGTGATCTCGCTTTGTTCAAAAACCAGATAATTCTTAAAACGAATAACGGACATCTATAGGGCTTTAAATAATTCAATTATTTTTAATATGTAACATTTTTTTAAAACGTAATTAACTAAAGTTAAATTTCAGAGCTGGCTTTGCAAACTGAATTCCAAATAATTTCTATCTTAATTAAAGAAGCTCTAAACACTGCACACTAAAGAGTTCTATTTGTAGGTTAGTTTTATTGAGTTAGAGTGATCTGCCCTTAGAAGAAAAATAGTATAAATGGGAATCTACAGTTAATGACACAATTTCTTATGAATTAAAGTATTCTTCATGTTATGTTAGGCCAAGATTAAGTAATTGAATACATTCTTTCCAATAATTTTCGATGCAAGTAAACAACAGTGATTTCTGTTCACAAATGCTTCATTGTCTTTGAACATTTTTTGTGCAGAAATAAGGCAGGCACCCTATGTTGAAAATGAACTAGATATACCGAATATGTGCACCTTTATATGATATATTTTTCTCAAAGCCCAAAAAGCATTTTTCATTGGTGTTTAGAGCTTCCTTGAATCAATACTTTTTTTAAACGTGTAGAACCGACAGGATATAAAATTAAAATGTAAACTTTTAGCAAGTGTATCAATAAATCAAATTGATGGCGTTGTTTTGCAGTCAATTATGAATGGTTGATATCATCGGCATTTTCTGTATATCAATTTACTGCATGTATTCTGCGACACATATATAAACCTATGCCATTGGGTAATTGATATAATTCCAGTATTTCTATTTGTTTTCTATAATTGTTCCACCTTAGTCTGCTCAAGAAAATGCAAAAATACTGTACGTGCCTCTTGTTTGAAGCATCGACAATTATTTATCTATTTCATAATTATTTATCAGTTTAGCTGTACAATAATTTAACTTGAACATCGCCCGCGTGGCGCAGTGGTTAGAGCATTTGCTCAAGAGTCGCGGAGTAAGGAGTTAATCCTTACGTCGCGGGTTCGAATCCCACTGTGGGACATGGAGACCGGTCCTTCGGATGAGACCGTATAAACATGTCCCGTGTCACAGTAGGTGCTGGCATGAAAAAGATCCCTCACTGCTCAATGACCCTGAGTGCCGAGTATAGGTCAACATTTGCAGCTCTCCACCGGCAAGTGGTGGCGTCTCCGTATGAGTGAAAAGTTCTCAAGAGAGACGTTAAACAACAAACAAACAATAACATAAATACATTGATTTCATCTCAAACAGCAATGCTAGTTCTAAAGTGTAAGAAAAAAAAAAACATGAAAAAGTTAAGAGATATTTCGATTTTTGGTATTTACTCTAAGTTTCACATACGTAATTTAATTTTAGCATTGTAATAATTTTTGTAAATGACATATAGTTTGCAATACTCTCTGAAAGAAAATGAGAGTAAACTTCAAATTATCCAAAAAATTCTATGAATATTTTCTTTTGCCGTGTCATTTCATGCAGTAGTGGAAAAAGAATACCTACAACGGAAATAACTGTGTCAAGTTGCCTAGCATTTGGATGGTCAAAATGGATATAATATAATAAAATGGCCGTATTATTGTCACGGTCAAGATCAGTGACCATTATGGATCATAGAAAGTCTGGCTTTCTGATCCATGGAGAATTCAAAAATATATGTGTTGACCAAGATGTTTCATATGTTTATTAAATTCAGTACCTAGGTCACTAATTAGTGAAAATTTCATTTATGCTCCGCCGATTTTTACCGCAACATTCTTGTCAAATGTACGTTTTATTTCATGGTGAGCGATGACGAACTTTTGGAAGATGGCAATATGGCCCCGATTTTGCACAGGTAGGAGCAATTCTTTGTTGAAAATAATTATTTTCAAAATAGCTATCATGAATTCATGTTTGTTAATCTTTTCTATATCGAATCGACTACACCATAAAGTTCACCACAAAATATATAGTTAGAAAATTATGTATATAAAGTTTTGTTTTTTTTTTAAATTAATGAAATGTGATTTTTTTTTCCCCTTGAAAAATGGGAGAAAAGAAAATAAAGATTAATTAAAGACGGAAATATAACCAACAGTAAGGCGATGACGTTGACGAAAAAAAAAAAAAAAAAAAAAAAAAAAAGAAATGCCATAAAACCTTACCTGTAATTTTTTTCACTCACTTCAATCCACTTATTATTTGTAACTTCATTTGAATCACATCACTTAATTAATAGAGATTGATCTTTTACAGGGAATTAGAGGTTTTAATCCATGTTCTGGTTAGTTAATCTCCACACAATCAGACAGATGTAACAAGCTGTTAACAGATAGATAAGGTAAGAAACGGAGAGGATATTTCTTGATTAATGTACGCCTCTCGTCACTTTGTAAGCTTTTGCCTGCGGGCAATGTATGTCTAATTTCGAAGTAAAACAATGACAAGAAAAGGTGCTATTGTTGAATTACTTATGTGTCCATGTCTTCATGTATTTGCATGAGAAAAACAGTCGGTAGTTATTAATATTTTACTCCACTTAAGAATTTCTTTTTAGAAGAATTGTGGATAAAATTGGGAGTAGCCAAGGAGATACTCTAAAGGCTATACAATTTTTGTAATTGCACATTTTGAATTGAAATAATGGTAGTTTAATATTTTGAATATTTGAATATTATTTATATCTTATTTGTACAACAACAATGTCACTTTAATTATGCTAAATAATTCTTAAATCTGGACAGTTAATTTGTAAATTTAATGACTTTTTTGGGTCAAATGGCACGTGTAAATTTATTTCATTGCTCATAGTCAAAATGTTTTATTTTCTCCCAGATAAAAAAAAATGTACCAGAATTTTTCAAAATTCTGACCTGTTTGGTTAGATGAAAGCCTCATTAATCTTGAAGAATGTGGATTTTCAATTCATTTTGTGAATAGCATTTCTTTTAATGTTGAGAATCGTTAACAGATTTAGCTGAAATATTTAACTACAAAAATATATCAAAGACTAACATGGATTTTCAAATAGATTAACAATGAAGTATTATGACACGTGTTTTCACAATATTTCAAAAATATAAATATTAATTTAAAGTAAACATATATTTAAATACAAATTGCACTGTACATATAATGAGTAAAATGGACAATATTGATGATCAGGTACATTGTATGCAGGAGCATTTTTTGTAGCTGTGGCTCCGAAACAGCAATGAGATTCCACCCAAGCCGCGCTGTGTATTTCTGTGTGTTCCTTTTGGCATTTCTTCTTCTGTGCGTCACTTTCTACAAAGGTAAACTTACTGATTTTTTTTCTTTTTAATGTGCCTTTTATGGCAGTTCTAATTTAATGATCACACACTATCATCAAAATAAAAATTATATGAATCATTTAAGTTTTTTTTTATTTGCCTGTAAAAATTGTAGAGACAAATTCTTTTTAATTGTAAAATTTTGTCTTGTCTTTTCCATTGCCTAGTCTTACATATTTTGATAGTGATTGACGTAATGCTTAATCTTTGAAATATTTACATGGTTAGCATTACATTCTGTAATTACATCTTTAAAAAGTTTGAGCTAATAATAGATGAAAATACGAGATAGGCTTTAAGAGAATTTTACATCAAAGGAATATTATATTAAACATTTAATATTAAACATCAAAGGTGTTTAACTGACACTATTTAAAATGGGCAGAGTTAAATTATCTAGTACAAAAACATTTACCGATTTTTATGATTTATTTTTACACTAAACAAATGTATGTTAGATTTTCTTGAAAAGAGAGAACCTTATAACGTCTTGTTCAGCAGAAACAAACAATTTTCAATACTTACTTCGCAGGAACAAAGAAGAAAGAAACAGCTGGAGTTCAATCATTATATATAACCAAGAAAAACACAGAAACAAGGATTGTGGAAACTTTTATAGAACAACAAAATATATTTCCAATATCAGGCACTTATAGCGATATTGATAATCTCAAAGATAATTTTATATTGAAGTCAAGAACGAAGTCCAAATATATTGGAAATGCCTATATGATGCACCCTAACATTCAAAGAGAACAAAGGCTAGCCATGTCTTTTGATTCTATCATTAAGAAAGATATGGTCTGGAACGAAATTGGAAATGTGCTTAAGATTGGCAAGGTTCCTAATTTTGAAGATCCTAATTATTTAAATCAAGAAAGAGCGCTAGTGAGAAGACTTGATCCTAATTTAGGTATTATAAATAAAGAGAGGAAGAATGAAACTTACGTCAAATTGAGAGACCCGGATGTAAGAAACGTCAATAATTATGGTGAAGCCTATTTGAGAAATGGACGTCAGAGCAATATCTTTCCGAACAACAATGCTTTTCGATTTCCTATCAAAATTGAAACAAAATACCAAAATATCAAACCAAATCCAAATCCGAATCAACAATCTTATAGCCAAGGTTTTGAACCAAACTTTGCTCAAGAGAGAGTTCAGTATATGGAACAGGCACAGGCTCATGGTATTCCTATACATAGTGTTAAAAACATCGCAGGGCTGAAATATGAAAGCATTAAAGTCCCATTTAATTCACTGAGCAGTAGATATAAACCAGAAATCAGCAACAAAAACATTCAAAATTTTGGACTTGCGATTCAAGGGCAAGTAAAGGTCCCCATGCGGAATTACGGTAATATGGGCATGGCAAGTAAGAAACAGATTCAGAACTCTGCGTCAGTCTCTGTAAAACCGAACAAGCATGTGATTGAAATTTTTCCAAGGAAAAATGAACCAATCAGAATACCTATATATATGGATCACAAGGGGAACTTTTCCTACCATCATGTTAATTTAATGTGGGAGGATGGTCAGAGAAACCCCGTCATTCCTCTGATACTTAAACAGAATGATGTGACGAAATTAATGCAACAAAATAAAGGTAGATATAAAGGTAGAAAGGTACACTATTGTAACCTTGTAACATTCTATTTGGAGAGAGAGAGTGTGTGTTTCATTTTAACCCCAATCTATTTTTGAATGTTTATGATATATTTATGGGGAAAAAAAAGTATTGTGCATTTCCTATAATTCTATAATTTTTATCATTCATGACATATTTCTCATTTACAGATGACGTCAAGTATACTTTGATAATGACTTATATGAGAAGTGGTTCCACAATTACGTCAGAGCTTTTGAAAACCAACGATACTTTCTTTTTCTTTGAGCCATTTCAGGGACTTTACAGGGATCACAGAACAAATCAACACGTCTGTTACCCCCATGGATACTGCAGGTCTTCAGAAAAGATTTAAAACTAAACTCAGTTTTCCATACTTTGCTTGTTGTTATGTTCGTAATTCGCCATTAGAAATTTTAGAATTTCACTCTTAATAGAAATTTGCATAAATGCAGTTTTCTGAATCGTAATCTTACGTATTTTGCTTTTTGGCTATCAAATTGAAACTCTTGAAAAAAAAAATTCAATTGCCTTTTTAAAAAAAAATGTTATAGGCAAAATAAAGATTATTTTTCAATTATTCCTGACTGTAAAGGAATTCGGCAAACTTTTTTTTTTGTAAACTCCAAACAAATTGTAAAGATGAAGATGTCAAATATATAATTATCAAATTTTCATAGTACTTCAAAATATCAAAGTAAATTATCAAAGTAATATAGTAAATCAAAGTATTATAAGTTATAGTTTAATAAATACAATTTTCTTCACGGAAACATACAAATAGATACTTATCACGGTAGCCTAGTGGTAGGGCGTTTGCTTCGTGTTTGGAAGGCCAGTGTTCGATTCTCGTTCGCTGCCCCGCGTCAAACCATAGTAAACGTAGGTAGTGACTATTCCTGCATTAGAAGTGAAAGTCACGGGTCTTTCGGATAAAACTTTGAAAACCGACGTCCCACATCACGATAGGCGTTCAGTTGCCTTGAGTGCCGAATATAAGTCTAAATTTGAAGCCCTTCTACGGTATATGGTGACATCTGTACCTGAGTGAAAAATTCTCGAATGAGACGTAAAACAATATACAATCAATCAATCAAATGGATTTGATAACAAAAAATTACAAGAAATATCCTTTGCTCAAAAAACCCTGAGAGATGAAAATATTTTATTTTACAATTAAAGATCCATATTAATTATACATATAAAATTCTTTAATGATAATGAAGATTATAAACAGAAGCAATAGTTTAGAAGTTAAAACATGTAGGAATGCAATAAGGAAAGATATATTTGATAAAATACATGTATCAATTGAATATGGAAATCACTTTATTTAGATTAAAAATATTTTCTTTATCTTTTTTTTAGAAAACCAGAAGGATTTTGGGAAACCATAGAGGGTTCGGTTCGCATAATCAAGAATCTTTTTACATGTAAATTCATGGACATACCTGTGGGTGCCATCGAACCTTTTAGAATATTTTCACCAAGTAGCTATCAAAAAGAATTTAGAGACTGTTTTCCTGTGAAAAAGATAGACTGGGACAAAAGACATTTCACTTTGTTTGAATATCCAGAAAATTATAACAAAACGTGCATACAATCTCTTCAAGTTAAATGCTTAGGTGCAAAGCATCGTCTTATAAAGACTATACGAATGCCAGCAACTTTTGCTGAAAGTTTTCTTGCAAACATTCCAAATCTGAAAATTGTTCACCTTGTCAGAGATCCCAGAGGAGTTATGAACTCAAGAGTACAAATACATTTAGTGAAATACGATGAGAAAGAAATTGGAATCGTTTCAAATCATTTATGCAGTAGAATCTGGCTAGACATACAAGCATTCAAAAGACTACAAAGGAGTTACCCAACTCAAATTATCCCATTCACCTATGACTGTCTTGCCTTATATCCAGAGGATGTAGCCAGGATGCTTTACAAATCATTAGACTTAGTCTATACGCCAGAGAAAAATGCCTGGGTAGATATGGCGTTTAGGAATAATTTTGAACAATCGTTTGAGCTTTTTAAACACGGGCAATCTTCAAGTCTAGCACAGAAATGGCGGATCAGTATCCCTCAGAAAGCGAACGAAAAAGTGAATAAAATGTGCGGAAAAGTTTTGGAGGAATTAGGACTGAGAAGATTTACAAGTCCAGTGGATATGAGAAATTTAAAAAATCCGGTTTTTATTGATAGTAGAGAAGCTTGTCTCAATAGGTGATGTTGTTAAAGGTCAAGTACATTAAAAAAAAATAAAACTCGAATTCAATAGTCTGTTAACAGTTTAGAGTTTACCAAAAACATTATGATTAATAAAGCTTGATATAATGAATTTGTTTTATGTACAACTGTAATACAAATATAAAGGAGTTTATATCATTAATAGTTGTATAAATTAAAACTAGTTAGTGTTATTCATACGTGTAGTATCTAAGATAAATTGTATTAGAATTGTATCAAAAGGGTATGGGTAATAAATGTATGAAGAATTACATAATTATTAATTGCAAAATTAAATGACAATCTAACAAGCTAATCATCTGTAGCAAAAAAAAGTGAACAAGATTTCAAATACTTATGCTCGCTATTTAGGAAGACTTTCAGAATACTAGTAATATTGGCAAATGTGACCTCTTTCTCTTTTCCCTTCGTATTGTCGAGCTCCTTATTTATTTAAAAACATGAAGTGTTTACATAAAATTCCAAGAATAAAAGCAAGAACCTTTTCCCATTCATAAAAAATGTCCCGAATAAAAAGCAGTGTAATTTTGTAGAATGACCCATTTTTCTTGAATGAATCTGTTAAAAAAAATTACAAACAATATTTGTTCAGTATTATGTCTGCTCCATTCCAAAACGTTTTTGGTAATCAATTATTGCAAAATCAGGCTCAGTTAGAATTATTTATTCTTCACCTACTTTGATAATTGAGACGTAAATATGATACAGAATTTGAATTCACTAAAAGAAATATGTTGCCACTGTTCCTGCACGCCTGGACAAATGAAAACATTGTGGTTAATAAAACGTGTTGCAATTTATTGTAATTAAAATCTCTCGACTGTATGCCTAAATTTACCTGGAAATATTGGAAAAATACGAAAGGGAAGGAAAATATTGAGCAAATAAAATACATGCAATTTAATTTTTTTCAAAAATGAATAATCTTTGTTAAATAATAAATGAACACATAGTGAAAAACAAGTAGCAAATTAAATCATTTGTATTTTCTCGTTTTGCTTATCTAAATGTATGTTACTGATGGTTATGCGCACATTTATGATTGAAAGATTTACGCTATTAATACCTTGATATATTTTACGAAATTAAAATGTGATGAACGGGTGTAATATTTTTTTTTATAAGGAATTTGAATAAGAATAATTTACCGAACTCCATGCTGTGCATCTATGTCGTTATAAATCTGATTTTCCATTTGCAGAGTAACAGTTCTTGGTCTTATACTAATCGTAAATCTTATTTGAAGTGAATAGTATTTCATCAAAGCGTTTCAACCAAAGTAAATTATTCTTATTGGTAATGTCCTTTACAATTTTTGTTGTTTCTTGTACAAAACTTGTACATGACAATTAATTGTTATGTACATATTTGGGATAAGAATTTTTTAAAAGAACAAAAAAAAAAAAAAAAAAAAAAAAAAAAAAAAAAAAAAGATAATTATGCACTGTCTCTGGGAGACGGTATTTTCTTGTTCTTTCCCAAATTAGTATTTTTTTTTTTTAATTTTGAATTTCTGTAACATCATTACAATTATTTCAAATAATTTGTATTTAAAAATGGATTATTTAAGAATTTGTTCAAAACTTATTCAATACATAAAATACACTGAAGCCTATGAGAAAAAGGTTAAATATTACCAAAGTGTTATCCTGAAATAAGCCTACTGTATATAAATATGAAATAAACAGGTAATCAACGTTTGAATTGATTTTCATTATATTTTATGAACATTTTTAATCTCAGCATTTGTTCCTAAAAATCACGGTTTCCATCTACATTCCAAGAATTGACTGAGATGATCAGCATGAATATCTTCAAATGTTCTAGTTCTCATTAAACTGCTTGATTTATGTAAAGGAACTTCAAAATATATGCTGTTCAAACTGATTAGATTTTTAAAAATTGCTTTCAAACAGATCGGTGGATTTTCATAGCAACTTTGACGCCCATCATTACAATTAGTGCCCATTGATTATTGGATTATCGTTTAAACTCGAAGTTAAAACCAGCGAAGTTTTCGTTAAGTGTCGTATATGGCTCCAGTCGATGTAGCAATTCATAATCTTAATGTGGTTGCAAATTGGTTGACTTCTTTTCAACTTCAAGGCTACTGAATTTTATTTCTTCCTTCCGAGTTTAAAACCATCATCTGGGGCTAAACTGGCTTCAGTGATCATTTGCAGTTTAAATCTGTTTGTCATCAAGAAGACTTTGATTAATTCGATCTAAAACAAGAATACAGGTTATGATTTACGTAAACTTTCTGCGGTGTAATTTTGAGCTTAGAACCGAGATATAAGTGTAAACTTAACATCGAAGTTTGGTTTTTGCTTATAAAGTGCTGCTGCTGAAGACATGCCATCTACGAAACAGTTCTTATTTTATCTTTTCGGAATGTGTGAAGTTGGTTTGTGTTTTGGTGAATACTTTACACTTGTTCCCGCCAATACAGACAAAAGAAGTTCCTATACTCCTATTTTACTGGCCTCAGCTGAGACTATTCTTTACTGTGCTGCTCTGTGTGACGTGACTCCTTCTTGTTACAGTTTTACGTTTTCTAAGAATACGTCGACGGACAATTGCCGTTTGCTTTCATCATCAGCAACATCTGCAGTTTTTACCATCAGTGAGCCTGGAAGTAAACATTATAAAAGATTAATTGACTGTAAGTTACGTTCGTGACATTTTGGAAACAGGATATTTTCTATGGCTTGAAATTTTCATGCTATTATCAATTGAAAGAGATACTGATGCTTTTCATCCTTCATTTTTTTTTGTTTCCTTTCATTTAACAATTATATCAGAAATAAAGACGTTAAATCTTTGATATTTGGATGTAGCTGAATCCCAAACTATCACAGAGAGCTAACAATCTTAGAGATATTATATCAAAGGATTTTTATAATTATCTATTATTATGGCTCATTATTAGCTGTGTATGAAAAAAAGAAAAACATTGTTTGGTTGGGTAGAGGTCTGATAAGTATACAATTATTCCAATTTTAAATTGGCTTCTTGCCAAGGATAATTAAAAATGCACTCAATATTAAATATGAACCCAGAATGAAATATTTCAAATTATTTAAAAGATAACATATATTTGAAGAACGAATAGTATAGAATTATTTCAAGAAGAGATGGAAGAATTTTTCTTGCAGGTAGTAAATGTTTCGTCAACTACACCTTGTCAATGGACAATTCTTATGACTGTGTGCTTCAACAGGAATCAGAGGATCCCGATGGCTGGATAAAGGGCAACGTAAGTGTAAGTTATGTGTGGTACAAATTAAATTAAAGCAGTCATTAGAGAATGAAAAATAGGGTCATTCATTGAATAGTTAGGAAAACAGATAGCATCTGTTTACATGATAAAAACAAATTTTTGTGGTTGCTTTGAGAAATATAAAGAGCTGTAAAATTATTTTTTGTCATTGCGAAGAGTGTTGAAATTTTAAAACAAAAGCAAAGTTCAAAACCCTGTGCTTGTTGAATACGAGGCACTCAGAAACGGGTTATGATTGTGCCTCCTAATTGTATAATAACTATTAAGACTCTTCTTTAATACCATAATGAAAATACTCTTAATTTCGAGTGTTCTTTCAAATTAAACTTATGGTGCAATACATGTGCTACATATATATAAATTACATATAATTTTTTAATATATTTGTCCTCTTAAAGTATAATGACATGTAAACAAATTTTCTAATCTTTCACGAACATAAATTTAAAAAAAAATCACAATTACAAATAGATTGTACAACAATGAAGATGACAAGATTTATGAATTAGTGGTTTTTCAGGTTTTGCAAGGCATAATGTTCCCGAAAAAGAAAATGCATGGTTTGCGTATAATTAATAATTGTTATAATACGCCCTGAATTCTAAAAAGCAATATTGTTCATGTACATGTATACCAGCAACTCATTTAACTCAGAAATCTTGTACTTTCTCTATCCAATATGCATGTCGCTCTTCCACGAAAAGCAGTTATGGAAATTACTAAATTAGACACGGCAACTTCTAGTTATTCATCGTGACGACTGATATACAACAGTTGTTCCCCTTGGAACAATTTATATTTAAAGGAATAGTTTTTAGCAATGGTGTGTAAATCACACAGACATGTCACTTAGGCATATTTCATAAATATACCTACGTGCAGGTCTGGGTGAATTTCTTATTTTTACATTTTTTTAAGAAGCAACAAAAATACAGTCGAGATTTGAATTTATCGCTGCCCTATTTCGCTATATTTTTATGAACGTTTCTGTAGAAAACATTGTGACGGCACTCAATGTACATTTCTATGCGTGAGTATAAACATAAATGGTATTCAATTCCATTTCATAGTAATTTTAGTGGAAAAACACATCGAATATTAATATACTTTAGCAATGTTTTCAAAAAGAACTATAATTTATATAAACGTTTTCTCTTTCACTTTCATGTTGAATTCCATCAATTTAAGGCTTCATATACATAATTGATATGTAATTATATTTGGAGCCAACCTACATATATCCTGCAGTACCCTGGATCTTTAAAAATGAAATTTTCCGATAAGATAAAACATTTTTTTCTTTGGTTCAATCGAGGCAATAAAGATCCTTTTGGTAGATAGATATTTCATTAAGTGCTAGATATATGTCATACTGCTTTATTTACTTACTTATTCATTATGAGATGTATATCTACTAAGAACCATTTTCTTTCAACTTGCTTTGTGGAGTAAAGTGAAAGAATATCTGGCTATGCTTCTTCGCCTACTTCTTCAGACTTGTTCTATAAAATGGAAAAAAAAATGTATGTTAAGATATCCATATTGATATAACAATATTCGTGAAAGGAACCACATCTATTCAAATATTATCAACACTTTTTCAAAATAAATAAAACCAACTAATCTCATGAAAAAAATATAAAACATTTCAATTTAAAATTGAGCTTTCAAATATCAATTGATTTTGCATAATACACCTTTGGTTAATAGACGTACTCGTGATTATACATGTATTATGACATCTTAGTTTTTTTATGTACTTCACTAAATTCAATATTTCTTTAATTTCAGTTGCACCAGGTAAGCTACTTCTTATGCACTTTTTCTGAACGTTTATTATATTCAAGTAATATCTACATAAGTATCGCCTTAAAGTAACATCTACTTAGGTAGCAAGCGTCATAATTACTTAAAATTCTGTTACATAGTTTTTTCAAATATTTCTGTCAGATTTGGTTTGCATCTATAAAACTGTTATAAACTGTTAACTTAAATGGAAGTTAACAGCCTTAAGATTTACAAGCTTGAAAATTTTTAAAGCTACATTTACAGCAGAACTTAATTAATCTTCCATAGATAAATGTGTCTTCAATAACTCCTTTCAAAACTGTAAAAAAAAAAAAAAAAAAAAAAAAAAAAAAGAGATCAACACATGTATTTCATTATATAAAACAATTACCCAATGAATCAGACAATGAGCATGAATATTAAATTAAAAATATTAGTTCATGTGCATGTTAAGATAAAACGTCGATTTGATTGACTCATAACTTAAAGGTGCATACCCAAATGAAAATTTTGTACTCATTTTAAGAATCTAAACTTATACTCATGAAAATGTTTTAAACATCTTTATTGTACCATCCCTTCCTTAGTTTTAAGTTATCTTCCAATAAGATTCTATACTTTACCTTTTAAGCATTTAACTCGACTCTTACATTATTTTCATATGAAAGACCTAACCTTTGGGACACGAGATGAAAGGTTTAAAAATTGAGATACTGGAGCTGAACTATGGATTTTTTTAATTATTATTTTCCTTCAGTATAATACAGTCAATCTAATTGGTCACGTGCAGGGAAATGACTTGTGATGTCTCCCTCACGTGCAGAGTGACAACTGTGTTGTCTCCCTTTAAATGACAATAGAATATCGTTAGCGAGATAACTCTCTGGTATAATTAATAATAATGTATTAATGATCGGTAAGCAATACATTCTAACTGTTACGTCAAAGAAGTCAAACTGTCTGTTGAAATATTTTCATTTTAAAAGTATGGAATCAGACCAGTGGATAGGAGAACTAAGGAGGTTTGCCCTATACTTTGTACTATATTTTATTAAATATAGATTTTTCAAGATTAAAATATATTATATTAAGGACTGTTAAGACATCACACATTTTCAGGTCTAAGAAAGATGTCCTCTTACTAAACAGTCAATAATTGCATAATATCAGTACTGAGACATTGACTAATTTGTGCCTTTTGTTAAATTATAATAAAAATATAGAATTATTACACATATTTTCTCTGCAAAATTAGCCCCAATTATCTATCAGTTTATAAAGATCTTTTTTCATAGTATCACAGTTTTTATATTTCCAATTTTTTCTGCTACCACTTAAATCACAATTAACAATTGAACTACCGATTGATTTCATCTTGACGTGAACAGTTTGTTCTGACTGAATATCATGTATGTCAAGGCATAGTAATGGCCGGAATCGAGTTCCTTATCGCTCTTCTTCCGTCTTAATTTCAGAATATCCTGATTGTGATTTTTCTACATTCTTTTTCTCAATTTTCTGATGTTTCTTCCTCAGAGCAGCGCTTGACATTGATTATCTTTCAAACAGTAAAACAATTACTTGCAGATTTCATTAAATGTGACACATTATATCTGGTACTTGGTGTCAAAGTTAACAATGCTTTAAAATATTAATAATTGGTGTATAATTCGTTATCTTTAAAGCTTTAAAATGATCTAATTTTATAATTTACTGCATGGCAGATATTGTATGATTAAATCGCCTACCTGAGCAGATATTAGTGTGCATTTCTACAGAATTAATTATGGCTATTTGCGCTTTTCTTTTATTGCATTACAGTCCAATTTTGTATTACACGGAAATGATAGGGAGTTTGTAGCCACCACAAATGGATGTAATACCACCCGTAAGTATTGAAAAGCTCAACAAATTATACATTAAAGTATCATCTATGGGATTGACTCTTTGAGACATTCACACATACGCTACGATTATTATAAGACAAAGTGGTTAATTTTAGTTTATATAAATTGTCCCTTTTTTAATGAATCATATTCTTTGGGAAAGCATAAATCTAATATAAAATTTACTATCATATTTTGATTTTGTAACCGTAGTTTTGCATTTTTTTTTTCTTAATAAAACACAACGGTCGCATATTCTTAAATAAATTGGAATTCCAATAAATGAACTTAAAAGTATTGGAATTATCTCATATTGATCTACAATAGAAAATTTGAAGTTTTACTCAATTAGACACAGAGAAGGAAAATTTAAATTTATAGATAAATTCGGAACCAGTCTTAAATTGCATGCATTTGCACGAACAAAATTTTCATGTTCGAGTACCTCATAGCCTAGTGTAGTGATGGTATGTTTAAATACTTATGTAATTTAAATAACAAAATATCAAAACAAGACTACAAAATAACCAAATAATAAGATACATAATCTCACGTATACCCAGAATTATCCACATAATGGCTCACTGTGCTTGGTACGGCTGCAGTAAGGCCCCTATTTTTTTCATAGAAATAACATATAACAAAACAAAAATCAGCTAAAATAAATACTAAGAGGGATGATGCATGATACTAATGTTACTTTAAGAATTATGCTGTAAACAGGGTCATTTTTGCTCTCTGTACGATGGCCGATATGAGCCGTCAAAGTACAAGTAAGAGTAACTCTATTATGTACGCAGAATTAATTGACTATAACAGTAATACCTGTATCATTTTGTACATGTACATCTTTGTCAATGACAAAACGCTTGTAGTTGTAATATATATTTGTACATGTACAAATCTTAAGACAAAATACATTTGAAACTACTTAACATTCCTCAGATTTATTGGGGAGATTATCTGTAAACTAAGACAGGGACTAAAACAAAACACGTGTGTCTGGTTTTCTTCTCTTTTCTCCTCCTTTTTTTGTTGTTGTTAAATAAATGCTGTATTCCTAATTTTTAATAAATATAAAACGCAGCGAGATTATTTTTACTTTCACATACGTCGTCCGAGACCTCAACATTCATATTTTTCCATCAAAGAATATTTTGTTAGTGTCTTTGTTCAGATTCTTCGTGTTTTGGTTTGATTTTAACTTCCTTATCGACAACGCAATATTAGAATTCATTCGTAGGTCCCAAAATACTGGTTAAAGATTCTAGAGACAATGAAGCTACATCTCTAGTATTTCCCTTCCCTTCCCTTCAGATGAAAGATTGTCGCTCGATGATCTGCGTATGTTAGAACTTTGTTTATTTTTCATTCTACTCTTTCCCTTGTACCATTAATATTTTTTCTCCTTTATTTTTTTTTCATTGGAACAAGGAAAAACAATTGAATGAGGAAATGAATAAACTTCTTACACTTAAAGATTCAGCTTCCTTATCTCTAGAATCTTTAACTAGTATATGAGGCCTAAGAATGAATTTCTATATTGCGTTGTCGTGAAAGAAGTTAAAATCAAACAAAAACACGAGGAATCTGAATAAAGACACTTACAAAATATTCGTTGATGGAATAAATCTGAGAGTCGTGATCTCATACGGCTTATGTAAAAGTACAAACAGTCTTGCTCTTTTTAATATGATTAAAAATAAGCATTTATTTAACATCCCCCCCCCCAAAAAAAAACACACACACACACACACATGTGTTTTTGTTTTAAACCCTTTCTAAGTTTATAGATAATCTCCCCAATAAATCTGAGGAATGTTAAGTAGTTTCAAATGTATTTTGACTCACGATTTGTACTTGTACAAATTCATATTACAAGTACAAGCGTTTTGTCATTGACAAAGATGTAGATGTACAAAATGATACAGGTATTACAGTGCAGGAAACTAATTTTGTTACAGCATCGATGCTGATTTGAATGCTTCCTTTGCTTGCTGATTTGAATGCTTCCTTTGCTTGCTGATTTAATGCTAGTAATCCTTATCCTGATGCTGTTTTATAATTAGGTCAATACTACCGGAAGTAGCATCATGCTACCGGAAGTAGATAATGAATTTCAGCATTGCCGTTTAAGGCAATAAAAGTGCCTTTTACAATTATTTGATCATAACATCTCACTATGTATCAATAATGTGAATACTTTAATCAATATTCTTTCTTTCTTTTTTAATTTTTTACTGAATTAAGACTCATTGATTTTCTGATGCTAGTAGGATAATGCTGATTTTATGTAGGTCAATGCTGGTTTTATCCTTTGCTTGCTGATGCTGATCCTGTTAATGCTGTTTTTTAAATGCTGATGCTGATGCTAGCTCGATCCTGATGCTACTAATGCTTATGTTGATGCTGGTTTATGTAACAAAATTAGTTCCCTGCACTGTACTGCTAAAGTCAATTAATTCTGCGTACATAATAGAGTTGCTCTTACTTGTAATTTGACGGCTCATATCGGCCATCGTATCTCTGTTTATTTTTGCCCTATTACACTTACAAACGATTTTTCCCTTTTTAAAATTCGCCTAGGCACAGTTGTTTTAAGAAATACCATTATTATTTTTTTGGTTTAATTTGCCTACCGACATCGGGGTCGAATGGAGCGAATATAAAAGGGGCAAAGTATTAACATTCAATAAAAAGAAATGCTTAATTGATATCATAGTGCCATTTCTATCATATCAGGGTGATCAAGCCACAGACTTCACTCTTCTACAGTTGTAAGGATAAAGACATGAAGAAAATTTCTCGCACGTATGTTAAGGCATCACACAGATCATTGTTCGGCAAACATACACTTTTTTTGTAGAATGTAACATTGATAATCAGAAAAGCAAAGGGTAAAACATTTACTATTTTTTTTCCAATTGTATAGATATCAATGGGTATTAGGCTGAAAGAAGCACTCCATTATGGAGTCATCATATGTCGTCTATAAAAAAAAATGCCTTAATAAAAGAGTGAAAAGGTCAACACTATCCCTCGGATAATTCCTTTCTGTTTCTAAAATTATGATCTAAAACATCTCTGGGTCATGAAATATGCACCTAGAATCCTACTCTCTTACCACAAAAATAAATTATTATTCAACACTTTCACATGAAACCCTGCCAAAATTTTTACATTTTGATCGATTTATTTTCACCAATTTCTGATAACCAAATGCAAATGATTCTAACACCTTCCAAGGACAAGTGCAATTGCTTTTGATATGGACAACAATTATGTTAAAGTATACAATATTGCAAGTGTACTTTAGCATCTTTGCCAGAGTGACCGAGGAAAGGCTGATCGGGATTTGAAAACTCTGTGTTTGTCATCATTTTAAGAAAGAAAAAATAAATTTAAAAAAAAATCAGCATACATGATTCGTTTATTCCTTATGAATCACATATGATATTCACGGTTTATGGTTTTTAGATCCCATTTCATTCATTTGTTTGCATGAATTCTCGTTACGTTTCATTCTCATGCAGCAAAAATTTGAGCAACAGTTATTACGTCATGGGTTTGGTATTTAATCTCCATGACAAATTCTTCGTTTTTTCATACCAGCCAAAAATGACAAGATTTACTTCATATCATGTTTGTGCATGTTTCCATTCATTTCTAACACTTGAAATAAATCTTTAATGAAGGTATTTTTAAGACGTAATTTTGTACAGGCAAGGAAGTATATCTGTGCATAGCCTAAACATACCCGCGCACTACGATTCGTGCAAATTGCAAAGCATGATCTATGTTTTAGTGTTAAAGATATTTAGTTTTAATTATTGTAATTCAATATAAGATAATTCTTCATCCTATTTTCTAAATGCTTCATATGTCTGAGGAATACTTTCATATCATGCAATAGATATTAAAGGAACCACTGAAGTTCATATTATATTCTTATTTCAATTGCTTCATTTTGCCAAAAAGCAAAGTATATACATGTATTTGTATTCTTTTGATCTGTCAAGCTTACCTTTTTAGGTAACCTGAGTCACTCAGGTGACCTTTTGCTATTCGTTTTCGTCCGTTGTCGTGCGTTGTGCATTTGCATTTGAACATTTTCAGCTTCTTCTCTGCAACCGCTGAACCAATTTTAAAAAAAAATTGGTATAGAACATCTGTGGGTGAAGGGGAAAAACTTTCATGGTCCCTCCTGGGGCCTCAGGGGAGGGACCATAACCATCAAAATGAGTGCTATCTTTAAAAATCTTCTTCTTTGCTCCTGGACATCAAGCAGTCAAACTGTTGGCATGAATGTAATAAGCATTGATCCCTCTACCACAATTTTGAAATTCATGGCCCCTGGGTCAGGGGTTCTGGAGCTAGGGTGGGGCTCTATTGATCATATAGTGAAAATGCATAAATTCTTTAAAAGTCTTCTTCTCTCCCTCTGTATACAAAGCAGATAAACTAGTTGCATGGTTATGATGATCAAGGGTGCCTCTTCCAAAATTGTGAAATTTGAAGCCCCAGAGAGAGGGGTTCTGTTTGAGGGAGGGAGCTCTATTGAATATATAGTGAAAGTGCATTATTTCTTTGACAATCTTCACCTCTGTTCCTAGGTATTTTGTAGATAAACCAAGTATATAGTCAACATGAGCAAGGGCGCTTCTTCCAAAATTGTGAATACCTTGGCCTCTGGGTGAGGGGTTCTGATGTTAGGGTGGGGCTCTATTGATTATATACTGAAAATGTATGAATTCTTTAAAAATCTTCTTCACTCTCCCTGCATTAAAAGCATGTAAACTAGGAGCATGGTTATGATGATCAAGGATGCCTCTTCCAAAATAGTGAAATTTGTGACCCCAGTGTGAGGGTTTTTGTTGGAGGGGGCTCTATTGATTATATAGTGAAAGTGCATTATTTATTTAAAATTTTTCTTCTCTGCTCCTAGGTATTTAGCAGATAAACCAAGTTTATAATTATGATGAGCAAGAGCTCCTCTTCCAAAATTGTGAAAATCTTCGCCCCTGAGTCAGGGTTTTGATGTTATGATTGGGCACCATTGATCTAATAGTGAAAATGCTTAAAATTCTTTAAAAATCTTTTTCTCTCCTCCTGTATAAGAGCAGATAAACTTTATGCATGGTTATGATGATCAAGGGTGCCTCTTCAAATTTTGAAATTTGTGGGTTCATGTGTGTGTGTGTGTGTGGAGGGGGGGGGGGGGGGGGTTATATTGAATATATTGTGGATATGCATTTTTCTTTGATGATCTTCTTCTTTGCCCCTGGGTTTTGATGTTAGGGTAAGGTTCTTTTGAACATTTTGAATATAAAGTAGAAATGCATTATTTTTTTGAAAATCTTCTTCTGTGCCCATTGTTATTAAGGAAACACACTAAGTGCTATGTTATAATGAGCAAGAGTGCTTCTTCCAAAATTGTGAATATCTTTGTCCCTGGGCAGGGGGCTCTGGTTTTAGGGTGGGGCTTTATTGAGTCTATAGTGAAAATGGATTATTTCCTTGAAAATCTTCTTTGCTCCTGAGCATATAGGAGGCAGAGTATATGAAATTGTAATAAGCAAGGGCGTTTTTACCAGATTTTGAAATTCAAATTAGTCAATTTATTAATTCATTTTGTAAGAAGTTATTCCCCTTTGCTATTCACGTATGATAGTTAATCACTGTTGATAATGTAACTTAAAAGGTCAATTGAATAACAGAATTATACAAGAATTTTTATAATATTTAATACAAAATACTTTTATAGTTTTTAATGGTCAGGTAGACTTTTAAATAATGAATAAACGAAAGTGGGACTAAAATACTGTATCTTTGTACAAATAATCTTCAAAGACTGAGAGAGGCAAATGTTAGGGGGAATGAAATGTGTTAACTAGTAGTGCTCTAGAACTATTGTTTTGTTTTGTCCGCATGAGGATAGTGACAAATAGAAGAAAGTACAGGCAAATAAATGCATAAACTTTAGGATTTTTACTGCTTTTTAAATTAATATTGTGCTGATCCCTGATTATCCAATTTCTCCAGCTTTTGGGCAACATAGCTTCATTTATCAGCTTATTCTGTTTTAATTTATGGATCGTTACATTATACTCAGATGACCGTTAAGGCTCTTGGGCCTCTTGTTATTGTTTAATTTCGATATTATTGTGTCACTGCGTGTTTGTGCAATGAGATATAACATTCACTACAGTCATTCCCACCAGGAGTGAAGAAAACGTCGCTATATTCTAATAATCAAACATTGTTCAGTGTTTATGGAGTTTTTTTGTATTCACCTAAAGCTGTCAAAATCGTGAATGCATCTCTGGAAGTATACTAACAGTTTTGTATATCTAAATTATAATCCTGCTATGGATAAGCAGTCAGAAGTTAGAATGTTATTATTTCAGCAAATGATGCTCGTGAACAAGGCGACAAAATTGCTGTGATAGCTAGTAGGTATCAGCTCAATTTGTGTAAAATACTCGATGAAAACTGATAGGAACATCATCTTTCTAGTATTAAAATTGTAAATCTGTCATGGATAAGAAAATACATATCAAATTAAATCAATTTAATGCTATCAAATTCAATAATTTTTCTGATCAAATATATATCAAGTGTAAATAAATGTTTCAAAATACCGTCACAATATTTTTTTTAAGTGTCTTGTGTTTCTATGTTGCATATGACATATGATGACAAAATTATATAAATGAGCTTAACATAGTTTAGTTGCTAAACTACATGCATGTCTATCAAATGTAGAGTATAGTTTACGATGTTAATCTATATTGAACATCTCTTTCAATAGTTTCTGTCCATGACTTTTGATTCCCAATTCCCAATGATAATGATATTTTACAGTGTATGCAGTATTTACAAGTGCAAACATGTTTACATCTGGAAATTATAATTTTAATTTGTTAACCATGGTTGACAACTCTAAACTATATTTAATGTATGTTTCAGATATAGTTTCGCGGTAAGTGCCACTATGATAAGCATCTCTAATATAAACAAATGTTAACAAATGTTATTTGGCTCTCCGATTAGAATTATATCTATAAACAAACAATTTCATTAAAGTTTATTCAAAGGCAAAACACTGGTTAAGCCATCGTAAACTATAGTTTCCAGACATAAAGATAGTTTTACAGATAGAAACTATAGTTATAAAATAAGCTTCGTAAACTGTAGTTTGCAATATTGATAAATCTAGTTTATCAACGTAAAACAATGCATATCTAATTTTTGTGAATTTGACCTGCCATGAGAGTCCTCAAGAACTTCACATGATACTCCAGTGACTTAGTCCGGTGGCCCTTTTGCCCTTTTAACGAAAACCATATCGTGTGGAAGACACCATCAAATTTCCCCTGTGAGATTTAAAATCAATCATTAAAACTATGGATCTAAATAAAGTTCAAAAAAAGTTTGGAACGTGCATTAAAATTCTTATGACAATGGTTTTGATGAAACAAGCTAGTAAACTCTGTAAATGTTTTTAAATCTCTTTTTCATGAAAAATACAGCTAAATACCAGTGCTTGATCTTCTACTGGTACTCTACTGGTCCAGCCCAACTGAAAGTGACAGCAGGCTCGGGAAATTCTCAAACTACGTATTTCACCCAGATTGTTTCGGAAGGCACAACCGTTAGCTATCAATTAAAGCAAATAGATATAGAACCATCATACAGTTCTTTGGTAAATATGATACCCTGTAACCCTTCATTGGCATCTAATCAAAGTGCCACAGCACAGAAATATGCATCTCTTTCTTATAATGTACTAGTATACCAGCAATTGAATAATAACATTTGATAGACGATCAATATTGACATTGATGTCTAGCAGAGTTTTACAAATGACAAACTTCAGACATTTCATTTAGATTCGCTTTGTTGGATTCAAAACAAGAGACTCAGCAAATAGAGCATACCCGCTGGGAATATACTTGGCTAAAATGGTGGATTGTCCATGTAAGTAGTATTTTTACAGGTTCAATGATTTTCAATAAAAAAAAAAAATATTGAAACAGCAAGGAAAATGAAAATGTTAGTTATCTTTATATTTTATAAGGTATTGAATTATTGACTAAAAATGCGAATTACAATATGCAACATATATAAACAAGTGTGAGTTTTCTTATTTCAGAAGTTTACACCTGTAAGGTTACTGTTCAAAATGTTTATAATTGCAACAAATATGCAACTGTTACATTTATTGAAAATTTGAACCACCATTATTAAGGACAGTGCAACTTGTTGTCAACCTTATGTGTTATCCAAAACCTTGCCATTTAAGATGAAAACTTATCATGAAAGTCTCTTTCCGTAAATTCAGTTGTTTTAATTTTTTCTTATAGGTAATGATTATTGCCTAATATTTGCAAATTTAGTTATCTGGATTAGGCAGGTTTTACTGTATAAATACATGTATATGTTTAATTGAATTAATCGATATAAAGTCTTGAAATAACATTTTATGTCACTGTCTGCCTTTAGTAACATATTCTTCAGAAAAACTAATTAATTTCCGCTTTAAAAGTTCTTTTTCTTGAACCTCACTGCACATTGATACCTAAAAAAGGAAAAATTAATTGTTTATATATGCGTTTTTATAGTTTTAAGGGACACTGGAAGTGAAGCGGTTTCCTGTGTTAACATTTTACTGGGTTTACTCAGAAAAGTTTGAAAATTAATTAAGATCTAATGAAAATGCTGGAATGAAAATAATGCTGAAAAAAATAACGATAGAGTATAAAGTTTTATGTTAAAAACTCCTACATCGTGACAGAAAAGCTACGTTCTTCCCACAAGGGATGCAACAGAATTCTATAGGCACATAGCATCAAACTAAGAATTCTATGAACATGATGAAATCGAAGACAAACGAATAGTGATCATGTTCAAAAGTCTATTTAAACATATACAAATTATTCTAAGAGTCAACATGGACCTCTCAAAACATAGGTGGGATCAGGTGCCATGGAGAAGTAAGCATCCAACTTAGATTGGTCAATCCAGGTAAATGGAAAAATCCGTAGAGAATTAAGTATGAAACTAATGGTCTAACAATTTGTTTGAAAGTCATAAGTCTTATTTCATACTTCTTAAAGTATAATAGGACTGTTCATTACAACACCAATTTAGATCCTACTAATATCTGTATTAAGATATTTTAATTTGGTTTTGGACATTTTTTGTTTTTGTTTTTTTTGTTTTGTTTTGGTTTTTTTTGGTTTTGTTTTTTTTTTTTTTTTTTTGTTTTTTTTTTTTTTTTTTTTTGTTTTTCGGGGTTTTTTTTTTTGTTGTTGTCTTTTAGCTTGTTTATACTTTTTGTTTTAGACTTTTTAATTGTTAAAAAAATAAAACATAGAAATGCATATGATTAACGAAATTTCTGAATATTTAGGTTCCTGCATCTGAGCATCTGAGAGATTCATCAGACTGGATGAAGAAAGACTGGATGAAGAAATATTGAAAATTTGCAGCCAAACTATTATATGAAGAATTTTTCCAAAGCAATTAGAACATTTATCAGCTGCTGTTTTTGTAACATAACACGCATATACTGAATTACATACACATCAGGGAGAGAGAGAGAGACTTCATTATTACAGTTATTTTCGGATTTTAAAGTCTGTAGTATAATGATGAGAAATAAAGATTGTGTTCATCGAAGTGAATTGATTGGAACTAATTCAATGGAGGACACATATAGCTCTAACAACGTTTCGAATTATATACGATATATTACTCTAACAATTTTTCAATTATATACATGCTATTTTCAAGCTTAAAGATCTTCATAAATATGTGCGAGGTGATACAAACATTTTCTTAATGTGTTCTGATGAATATATATAGTCATTTTAATATATTTTGCCACTCACTGTAAGTTAATATAATATAAGAATAATATATGAGAATAATAAAAAGAATAAGATAAGAATATTGGAATGGATAAATATAGAAGAATTTGTTCTAATCTCTGTTTTTGGATTTGGATTTTTTTTATTTAACACCACGGAATATGTTTCTTTGTCCCAAGACCTCAAATGTATATTTAATTATTAGAAAATATACATACTAAGAGACTCTTTGAAGGGCCCTAAATATAAATGTTGTATACAGGATCAGCAATCGTCTAAAAACTGGAAAGTGGAGATGTATTCCAGTTCTCTTAATACTAGAGAGTATGCAACCTATTACACCACAGTAAGTTTTGAGTTAAATAATCTTTGAAAGTTACATGTAGACTCAAGGGTCATTACTCTGTAGAACCAGATAAAATGTGGATTCAAGTAGGATTGTGTAGGATTTATGCTAACTTGAGTTAACTGTGCCATTGAAAATCAAATATGTTCTAAAATTTTTAATAATATACGAGGGTTTATTCAAAAGTAATGGCACAACTTCTACAAAATCTTTAATAATCGAAAGTTTTCATTAACAGTTTATAAACTTATACCTGTGTCTGTTTTGAATTTTCCCCTTAAATTTGCCGCACGGCAAGAATGTACAGACGTCGTTATGACGTTTAATTTCACACTCGTTTTGAGTCCGATTAGATTTACGCAAATGGAGTGAATTTAGATATAACATTTGGACAAAGTTCAAATAATTTTCATACTACAGCTCAAAACAAAACGGATTAATTGCAAAATGACATTAAAAATTATTAGAATGAAGCACGTAAGAGATTAAAAAGATATGTAAATGAACTGAAAATGTGTGCCGAAAAGTTAAACGCCATATCGACTTCGAATAATTGCTGTCATGCTGCCATGCGGCGTAAACAAAATCTAACGTTGTGTTTATCTTAATATTTAAAAATAAAAGTATTGGTTTATTCGAATTAAATTTAAAGGCAAAAATCTAAATTGGTAGGGCATTAGCATGTCAAATTTTGTCAATACAATTTTAGTATCAAAGATTTTATAGTAGTTGTGACATTACTTTGGATCAACCCTCGTATAAAATGCAATAAAAAGGTAAGAAAAACTTATAAAAGGGAAATGTAAGTATAATGTTTGTAATATCATCATCTCCGATGATAGGATTAAAATTGGGAAAAAACACAAAAGACAAATTGTAAAAAAAAAAATATTTATTGAAATTGTTTACATCAGATTTGGAAATGTTCAATTTTATAATTAAAAGATTAATTCTCAACAACAATAACAATGGTACTTAATGTTTAATAATATAAAAAAAAAAGTGCACTTTAAAAATCTGTAATCAGAAAAGAAACTGTTGAAATATAGATTGAATATTAATTGTTTGATTCAGCATTAAACCCTGATAATCATAGTAGTTGTGCTATGAGCAGCTGTGTTTACAAGAATATTTATCTCTTTTAAATTAGAAATAGAGTTAGAAAATAACGTAAGTGTTAGTCGGCTTAGAAACAAGTTTCAACAAAAAACAAAGATGGTTTGCTGACGGTTACGTTGTACTATTAGGATAACTTTTTCATCTGAAATAATATATAAACGTGGAGTCTTAAAAGATACACATAAAACCTTAATTTCCCTTTTCGAGATCGCACTGATTTTTTTTTTTTATTAATCCTTCAATGTCTGGCAAGAGCAAAGCTTCATTCTGTAAGAGTGGATTGTCTAGCACTGTGGGAGTGAAACCATGGCATGCTCTATAATTCTGTTATTTTTTTATTCGGTTGTACTTTTAGTAATTGATGACAATGAGTAAACTTCATTTATTTTATTTTGATAATGCTGATACTTGTACGTGACTTTTCCATTCAGACAAGATTACTGGAAGTTTTGTTGCTGAAAGACTTCCTTTTCTAAATGTCGCTCGCGTGTTGCAGTGGTTAGAGCGTTTTCTCTAGAGTCGCTGAGAGTAAGGAGTTGATCCTCACGATGTGGGTTCGAATGCGCTGTCTGACGCGTAGACCCGTCCTTCAGATAAGACCTTGTAAACCGAGGTCTCCTGTCGCAGTAGGTGCTGACATGAAAAATTCCTTTACTGCTCAAAGGTCGTTAATTCCGATAACAAGTCTAAATTTGCAACCCTCCACCTGCAAATGGTGGCGTCTCTGTGTGAAAAATTCTCCAAGGGACATTAACGTCAAACAAACAAACAAAAAAGCTTTTCTAAATAAACGCAACATTATCTAGAAACTTTAATGATAGAAGCAAAAGTATTTGTCACTCCGAATTGACTTCAGTCTTAGAATTTGAAAAGAGTTAAAAGCAGAGAAAAAACATTATGTTTAAATTTGGCAAAATTTCAAATTTTCAGAAATTAAATTTTTGTATTTTCATGGCAAAAGCAGCAGTGTTATTATTTTTTAACATAGGAAATTGGAAAGACACTTAAACATCAATGTATTGAAGTTTGATATTCTTTTATGCCCGGAATTAGATCCCCCATTTATCGTTCCTGCCAACTGTAACAAAGATTGTTCAATCGGTTCCATTAATTCTATTTTTTTTTGCAGAAATTACTTTGAGTTGATGTAAAGAATAATGCTTTGAAGTTTAAAAAAAATGGCTATTCAATTGTTGGAAACATATGAGATGGAAAGTGTCATGTTTGGTTTGTTTCCAAAGCAATAATTTGGATTTTGAAATTTCGAATGTTTTATGTATACCAAATGGATATGTAATCTTCGCTTCAATACAGTTTCATGTTGGTTAAAGCGTTTTCTTTAGAATAGCGGAGTAATGAGTTGATCGTAAGTCGCGGGTTAGAATCTCACAGCGGGATATGGAGACCGGTCCTTTGGATGAGACTGTATAGTCTGAGGTCCCGTGTCACAGTAGGTGCTGGCACGACGAAAAATCTCTCACTGCTCAAGTGTCCAAGTACAGGTCTAAATTTGCAGCACTCCACGTACAAGTGGTGGTGTCTCAATATTAGTGAAAAATTCTCGAAAGGACGTTAAACAAACAAACAGTTTTTGTTTCACGCTTCAAGAGGAGGATTCACATATATTAACCATAAATCTGTTGATTTA